AAAAAAAAAAAAAAAAAAAGATATTTCTGGCTGTTCTAATATAGGTACTCTGAGAATTATTTTGTCCATCCAGTGAAGTGGTCTGAGATGAATTTTCTAGAATAGTAAAATTAAATATAGAATTTAGTGGTAGATTGAACGATGAATGTTATTCTACATTCTAGGAAGAAGCAATGAATTTCCTCAAAACATGACAACTAATTATTATAATCCATTATTCAAGTATAATTCTTCAAATCTTTTATATAATTGAAGTTCATATAAGCATATTTTTCATCATATTGCTGTATTAAACAGATATACATTCTTATTTTACTAAAATATATCTTACAAATAATATAATAATAATTTATTTCATTCATTCAAATAAGCAAAGTCTTTTGAGGAAATTATAAAGTTTCCACTCACATCCAAAAGGAAAGTAGAACTCTTAATGCAATTAAATATTACTCACTAGGTATATTTACATCCAAACAGAATAATTACATTGTTGGTTAAATTTTCACAGGACTCAAAGGACAACTGTCAATCTTCATAGGGATAAAAATCAAAGAGGAAGAATATTTGCAATCCTTTCGAGTTAGAAAAAGAAAGATAGAGAAAAGAAAAAAAATGGACAGATAGGTTTGGAAATGCACTCTGAACTCACTATATTATATATAAACTTCAATATTCAATACATTTTCAGCAATCTTGTGATAACATTTTTTAACATGGCTAGTCAATCATTAAAGAATCAATCATAAAAAAAGAAAAGAATCAGTCATCTTCAAATTCAAGATAGCCTGGTGTTTATTCCTCACAAAATTCTCAATGATTTATTAGTGAATTCTGTGGGAAAGTAGATTACATGTAATCTGGAAGACGGAAGACGGATATCCTATTGTGACATATTTTATGGTATCCATTATATACATCAGTAAAGAAAGCACCTGGCAGCACTCAATTTTCTTTATTTCACAGGCTTAACTAATTTTAATTATTTATTTTTCTAATAAACAGTGATATTATTGGGAAGATATATTCAAATAGAAGATAGTACATGTATTTACCAGCAAATATAAAACTATAAAAAATATATAAACTAGAAAGTGACATTATTGTAGAGTATATGCTGATAAGGAATATAAATGATGAGCAAAAAAACCCCTGAAATCTATAAAACTTTCCAAAATCGCCGTGCCATATGTAAAACATCAGAAATATATCTAATATATTGAAATATATATTATTACAAATAACTATTTTATATTTCTACTTATAATTACAAATAAGATAAATAATATATTCAAAAAACTTCAAATTGTTGCAAACAAATTCAATCTCTGTTTCTCAAGCACATCAACCACTAATCACCTTCCCTGGTTAAAACTTACTGCCACATTGGCAAGATATCATCAGCCATTAATATCCCTCCTTGAAAATCAATCATTAATCATAACACCATTCCTTCTAAAATCTATTCTATTTCTAAAAAGAAACTGTTCTGTCAGATCTCAATATATGGAAAACACATTATTAGAAAAGAAAAAATTGTTGTACCTCAAATAAGTTTTCAGACCAAACTCTTTTGAAAAAACGAACACTAATAATAAAGTTTTAATTTATACTTAATACTGAAAACAAAATACTCACAAAGAAGGATCTTGTACGAGATCTTTGAGATTTATCCCACTGCGATCTTCCGCAAGATTCCTGAAGCAACTATCACTCACTAAATAGAAATGGGAAAAAGAAAAAAAAATTAATTTTTTTTACATTTCATTTAAGCTATTGCTGACCAGAACACATTTTGAAATGAAAGTAGCTTTTTAAATAATTTTTCCCCAAACATTAATATTGATTTATTTATAGACCTGGTAAATTTAGCAACAAATGTTAATAATCTAAATAAGACAACATTTCAGTAAAAATCCACTAATTTAAGCACGTCAACCCTATATAAATAATTATTTAAAACAATAAATGTATGGGTCTAAATTTTGTTCTTATTTACGAGATCAATTTACTAGTTAGTACACAGTAGGAAGTCACAGCTAGGAAAAAAGAGATAAACTAAAAAATCATATTTTAAAAAATATAGACAAGCAATGGAAATAAAAAGATAAACAAAATTTGCAGAATGAGTGAAGCTTAATGTCTCTTAAGTTAGCTAATTCTGCTTATAATTTTAATTTCTGGAAGAATTTGTCATTTAGACACAGGCTAAATTAGAAAGAAGGACACTGCTAAGGAAAAGAAAAACCAGTATAGCTCTTAATAATTTGTAAGCTGGCATGACAAACTGGAATCTGATGAAGACCAAAATTACAATCTGTTATCCAGTTTGTCATGCCAGATTTTGCAGTTTATCTGTTTTTCTCATCTGTAATTTTTTCATCTCTTTTGTAGTTTATCTCTTTTTTTGATCTGTAATTTTTCTCCCTGAAAAATTTGCTGAGTGCTAAAACTACATAAGAGGATTTGGGGCAGGAGTCGTGAGAATAGGCCAAATAAGAATCCCTGTAGTGTTGTGGTGATTAGAAGTCAAAGTCACACTAGAATAGATGGAGCCTACCACTGCGAGGATAAAATTTCAATAGGTCTTCCCACAAGACATTTGCTCTCAACCAAAAACATCCCCTTAGCGGGTGGGGGGCAAGAGGAAATGAGTAAAGGGAGCAGGACCAGAAAGGTAGAATAAAATCTCCAACAGTTTTATAGTATATAAATACAAAGTGATCAGACAAAAGAGTCTGCAATGAAACAGTTCTTGTCATTAGGACATTTAAAATCAAAGGCATTCTATCGTAGGCATTATAAGTGTATCTAAAACTGCCACCCAAGCTATGCAGTAAGATTCATAGTGGACTTGACATGATTAGCACTTGATCTTATCTAATACAGAATTGAAGAAAAATAATGTTTAGGTCAATTTCTGCTGATCTATGGTAAACAATATTTGGTATACAATAAAAATTACAAGGTATAGAAAGGGGTACAAAACAGGGAGTCTGGGGCCAAAGGACTGGCCCACCCAGGAACCACCACAAATGATGACCTCATGAACTTCAGTGGTAAGGCAACCACATGCCTTCAATCACCACCCAGGGGCCCTAAGAACCAGCTCACTGCTAACACTGTCAGTGCCTATGCACAATCCCCAGGAGCCGAAGGACAAGCCCACCAAATATCACTGTCCCCAGCAAAGTCCTGTCGCTGACTCCGTGAACAACCTCACCTGAAGTCTCTTGGGAAATTGCAGACACTGCTAAAATTATTTACAGCCAAAGTAATCATATAGAGATAACCTAATGCAACCACCTGAACCAAAGCCAATACACTCTACCCAAATGACACTACAGATATGTCTACAGAAAAGTTTACCTTAAAAAGCTAATCCAGAAAATTGAAAGAAGAAACTACTAACCATATACACAGTTATCAATGTAGGGATGCAAGACACATGAAAAAGGAAACATAACACCTTCATAGAAACACAGTAATTCTCCAATAGCAGAGCCCCCAAAAGAAAATCTATGAAATACCTGAAAAAAAAGTTAGATAATAATCTTTTTAAAAACTCAGTAGATACAGAAGAACACAGATAGAAAATATACATAAATCAGAAAAAAATTGGTTATCTAAATGAGAAATTGAACAAATGGAGTGTCATGAAAAAACAACTCAACAGAAATCCTAGAACTGAAGAATTCAATGTTTAAAATTAAAAAAATTGAAACCTTCAACAATTGACAAGATCAAGCAGGAGATAATTTTAGTACTTGAAGACAGGTTTTTTTTTTTTTTTTTTTAAATAACCCAGTCAGACAAAAGAAAAAAAAAGATTTTTAAAAAGGAATGAATAAACCTATATGACATCGGAAACCATCAAGTAAATTCATACTCACATTTTGTGAATTATAGAAAGAAATCAGTGTAGAAAAGGCATAGAAAACTTATTTAATAATGTAATAGTTGAAAACTTTCCAAATCTTATGGATTTGGAAATCAAGATCTGGACATCAAGATCCAGAAAGGTCAAATGTCCCCAAAATACTCAACCCAAAAATGTCATCTCTGAGACACTTATCACTTAGACTGCCAAGAGTCAAAGACAAAGAAACTATTGTAAAAACAGCTAAAGGCATCAAGTTACATGTAAGGGAATCCCTACAGACTAACAGCAGATTTCTGAGCAGAACCATTATAGGCCAAGACAGAAAAGGACAATTTAAGCAAGGTACTGAAACAAACAAAAAAAACCCCTACTGATTATTGTGTTAGCAAGGATGCAACAACAATCACAAAACTAAAAGTCAATATCCATGATTAGCATAGATGCTAAAATCCTCAACAAATACTAGGAATCTGAATCCAATGGTACATCAAATAAATAATACACTATGATCAAGTGGAATTTATCTCAGGTATGCAAGGATGGTTCAACATATGAAAAATCAATAAATGTGCTACATCATATCAACAGAATGATAGGTGAAAAGCAAATCACATGATCATCTCAAATCCAAAGAAGGCATCTGATAAAATTCAACTCCCTTCATAATAAAAACTCCTAAAAAAATTAAATATAGAAAGATTATAGCTAAATACAATAAAGGCCATATATGAAAAACCCCCAGCCCAAATCACACTGAATGGAGAAAACCTAAAAGCCTTTTGTTAAGAACTAGAACAAGAAAATAATGTATACTTTTACCACTTTTCTTTAAGATAGAACTGGAATTTGTCACCAAAATAATTAGGCCACAAAAGGAAATACAGTGTATCTAAATTAGCAAAGAGAAAGGGAAATTGCTCCTCTTTGCGGATGACATAATCTTACATATAAAAAACTAAAGACTCCTCAAAAAAACTCTAAGAAGAAAAATAATAGAAACTGGGGATTCCAAAAGAGGGGAAGTTGGGGCTGAAAAATTACCTATTGGGTACATTATTCACTAGTCAGATGATGGGTAAACTATAAACCCAAATCCCATCACTATGCAATATATATATATATATGTAACAAACCTGCATATATACTTCCTGAATCTATAAAAAGATAAAATACCTTAGAACTGCTAAACAAATTCAGACAAGCTACAGGATACAAAATCAACATGCAAAAATCAGTGATGCTTTCACAGAGCAACGAAATAGCTGAAAAAAAAGTCAGGAAAGCAATCCCATTTGCAATCAATACCTGCCAAAAAGGATAAAATACCTAAATGGTGTTGGAAAACTGGATATTTACAGGCAGAAGAATCAAAGTAGACCCCTATATCTCACCACAAAAATCAACTCAAAATGAATTAAAAATTTAAACCTGAGACCTGAAATTACAAAACAACGATAAGAAAACATATTAGAAATGCTTCAGGACATCTGTCTAGGCAAAGATTTGAAAGATTTCAAAGGCACAGGCGACAAAAGCAAAAACAGACAAATGGGACTATACCAAACTAAAAAGCTTCTGCAGAGCAGAAAAAGGAAGATTTACAGAGTAAAGAAATATAGCCTGTTGAATGAAAGAAAATATTTGCAAATTATTTACCTGACAAGGGAATAATGTCTAGAATATATATGGAACTCACACAACCCGACATCAAAAAATCTGATTAAAAACTGGAAAAGAATCTGAACAGACGTCTCAAAAGTAGACACACAAATAGCCAACAAATATTATGAATGAATACTCAACATCCCTACTTATCAGGAAAACATAATATCAAAACTGCAATGAGATATCATTTCACCCCAGTCAGAATGGCTATTATCAAAAAGACCAAAAACAACAAATGCTGGTGAGGATGAAGAGAAACGGGAACTTATGCACTGTTTGTGGGAATGTAAATTAGTACAGCCATTATGAAAAACAATATGGAGGTTCTTAAAAAAAGTAAAAATTTACCACCTGATACAGCAATCACACTAATGGATATTTATCAAAAAGCAAGGAAATCAAGTATGTGAAAGAGATACTTCTACTCTCATGTTTACTGCAGCATGATTCACAACATCCAAGAAATGGAATCAAAGTAAACATCCATAAACAGATGAATGGATAGAGAGAATGATGTGGTATATATACATAATTGATTGCTACTCAGACATAAGAAAAGAGAGAGAATTAAATCCAGTCACAGTCAACAACATGGATCAGCCTGGAGGACATTATTATGTGAAATAAGTCAGAATGATAAATATGGCCTGTTCTCATGCATACTTATTATCCATTTAAAAAAAAAAGATGTCCTAGAAGTAGAGAGTAGAATTGTGGTTGCTAGAGGCTTAGAAGAGGCGTGGGTAGGGAAGGATGGAAAGAGGCTGGCTAATGAACACAAACTTAAAGCTAGATAATAGGAGTTAAGTTCTAGTCTTTATAGCACTGTAGTATAAATATGGTTGAATAGAATTTATTGTATATATTCAAAAAACTAGACGAGAAGGTTTTGAATATTCACAGTAAAAAGAAATGATAAGTATTAGAGATTATGGATATGCTAAATACCCTGATTCAATAATTACACATGGTATAAATGTATTGAAATATCAATCTGTTTCTCATAAATACGTACAATTATTGCATATCAACTAAAAATAAAAGAAAAAAGGTGAAGGTGAAATAAAGACTTTCTTGGGCAGTAAAAAAAAATTGTCTAATTTGTTGCCAGTAGCCCTGACACACAAGAAATGTTAAGTTTTTCAGAAAGAAAAAAAAATGATTGTCAG